TTTGAATTAACTTTTTGCTTTGATCTAATTGGTCTAGGTCCTAAGCAGGCTGAGGCAGAGGTTGCCGAGTGATTCAAGTTTCGATCTTCAGGTGATTAATTAGTTAACCTTTTTTTCTGTAATCGGACAAAGTTTTAGAATTTCGGTGAATTAGATTAGTATATTTAGTATTTGAATGCTTGAATTGGGGGATACTTCATTTCAGTTTCGTGGTAATGGTTTATTTACAGTTTTACACGCTTTGTAGTTGTTAATTCGTGTATCTGCAATTGCTTTGTCAAATTTCTTTTAGTTGGGAATTACCCTCATTAGTTTAGGATGTAAAGTTATAATTCCATCACAGAAGGGAACTAATTATTGGATATTTATGACTTGTCAAATATCTTCTTTTACTTTACTTGAAAGCAATTGTTGTTAGGGATTTGGGAGTAACTCTTTAACTATTCTCCATGACAAACCATCATATCTTTGCCTTTTCAATAGCATTATTACTGCTTACGTTACAAGTTTAGGACTACTTCCCACTGATTCCAATAGTGGAAAGCAAGTCCATTAGTTAATGACTTTAATCTACATCAAAGTTCACTCACTTATATCATCCCAAGCACTGCCTTGACTTGTTAAGAAGAAAGCCCTGATGATGTGGTACAAATTTTTTGTATTCTACTTATTAGCAATGCCACAAGGAGTACTTAATATCCTAGAGCTATACTAAAAAGTCTACAAACATATAATTGTGCTGTTTATCCATAGATTTATTTCCAATTACATTAGATGAGACAAGAAAAACCAGTTCAAAGCCTAGAATTCCTGTAATAATTAAAGGACATTGTTGTTGGTCTCTTAGAAAACTTAGTGTAGGTCTGCTGAATTTTTTACCTTGGGTATGTGTTCTATTTACTATAACATGAATAAAAATTCTATTGAGATGGGTTTTAGCTATTTACATGTGATGTTAAAACAGCCTGGAAATATCTGTATAACATGTTAAGGAATATAGGGCCCCTTGGGCATAAAAAATATAGCTAGGTAACTAGGTTCAAGGTTCAGATTGTGCTCTTGACAAATCTATGACCATGGTTATTGCATGATGAGAGAAGAGTTATTCTTTATAGATTTTTCTCAATGTAATCTTATATTTTACTGCAAAAAAAAAGGAGTTGATGCACAAGGGATGGTGGGTGGGGATTAGTTGCCATTAAATTGGTTCTGTGGTAAAAATTAATTTTTAACTTCATTCAAGCGTTGGGCTGATTCTTCACATAACCCACAATGAGAATAGGGATGAGATTCAAAGTTTGTTATAGATCTCCATGATATAATTATTTTAGATCTATTGATAAGTAAAGACAGGCTATTAGCTTAAGCACGTTTATAGATGATTGTTTTAATGAGAAGGGCACATATAATAAGTGCACAAATCCACTTAAACACTAACTTCTATTAAAAAAAAATAATTTAAGCTTATATATAGGAGTTGATATGCGAGCCAATGATACTATTTGGTTGTGTACTTGTATTTTATGATTTTATTGTATAAAATAGAAAATGAGCTTCCATGAAGAAGTTGATACGACATGTTTGAAGGTGAGTTCGAGTCACTTGACCCAAACAATCTGTTGGGCCTAAAACATTTGTCTATATAGACGAAGTCCTATAAATCCACTAACCACTGTAGAAATATTACCCATTTACCCAAATATTCCTAGATATAGCTTTATATTACCAAGTTTTCATAATGTATGGAACGCTTACATTATCAAGTTTTTTATGAAAACTCTCCTGGTCAACAAATTTTATTTTATTTTCAAATTATAAAAATGCACTTTTAGTGAAGTGCCCAGCCATTAGAGGCCAAGCTTTTGGATCAGTTGTCTGGAATTTGTTTTTTTTTTTTT